AGATGTGTGCTAAGCTATGTCAATGTTTCGCTAATGCCATTGCCAACAAAAGAGCCCTCCCTTTGTATGAATTCGGCCTGTAGGCCAGTAGTATTTCTGGCATCGTGAGCGCTTCCATAGTTTTGGTGTGTGTGTGTGTGCGTGCAGTGGCCCTTGTATGATATCAAACAGGTGCCGTCGGCTCGCCATGCCTCCAGCTGAGGCGGATCGCCTCCGACCACACACAGAAAAAGGTCTCTGCTGGCGGGGAAGGCTCTGGCAGGCTGATGTAAGTGCTCGCACGTGAATCATCTAGGCAAGCCCGACCGCCGTCAAGCGGTACAACGCTTCCATAGTCTTCTCCCCCCCCTCCCTTGGCTCTCGCTGCCCCGTTCGACTCTCTCAGCGCTATGTGTGTGTGTGTGTGCGTGCAGTGGCCCTTGTATGATATCAAACAGGTGCCGTCGGCTCGCCATGCCTCCAGCTGAGGCGGATCGCCTCCGACCACACACAGAAAAAGGTCTTTGCTGGCGGGGAAGGCTCTGGCAGGCTGATGTATTTATTTATGTGTCCCAGGGCCACTTCAAGCATGACCCCCCCCGTCTCAGGCGATCGCAAACATGGATCAAGGGGGCGTGGATTTGCGACGGGTCCCGCTTCCATGGGAAATCGCGGGCTTCCGCCGCCGAGCGAGGCGGCACCGGCCGCATTTTGGGGAGGGCACCTCCCCGGATCCATGGATAAGGCGACCGCGCGCCAAATCCATGGATCGCTAGTCCATGTTTGCGCCACCCCCCCCCCACTGTCGTTGCCCCTCGGAGACTGGGCGGCGGGTCACCGTGGAGGTGGCCATTCACAAGACAGCGGGCGCTGCAGCCGCGCCCTGACGGCCCACCAGCAGAGCAGCTGGGAGATCGGAGTCGCATCTGCACCATGTCGTGCAACACGGGAGGGAATTGAAAGTTGGTTTAGTACAGAGCCTCGGCAGACATACGCCGGGCCCTTCGTTCCAACGCTGCGCGAAGGTGAGCTGCACTAATCGGGGAGGAGGGAGAGGAGAAGAAGGAGGGGCAGGG